TTTTTTGTACATTTTCCATCTGCCATGCAAGGCGATGAACGATTAAAAGTACCGCATGGGCCATAAATCATGTTTGCTGTAGCAATATCAAACAGCAATTGATCAGTAGATGGAGCGGGAATTTCTGCAGAAATTATATTATCTATTTCTTCAGGACGGATTTTGTCAATTAACCAAACCAAAATGTGGGCATGAGGTAATCCTCGCTTTTGCCACTCAACCGAATACAGCCAGCAACGTGTGGGACCGAATACATGTAATTTAGTAATAAAATTTTTTAAAGACTTCAGCTTTTGTCTAAACACACGTGCTGTAATGTCATGACGATGTATTGCATTTTGGCCAGGCAACAGCAAAGATGTATTCTCTGGCCATTTTGGATTACATGTGAACGTGATAAATATACACGGTCGCCCATATTCGCGCACGAAAGTCAGAGCATCCTGTATATACTCTTGCACATGACGTGGACTGCCTACGTACGATGATGGTAGAATGACAGAATTACCAATATCGGCGGCGTCGGCGTTGTTGACAATAGCGTCTCGCAAGTGAATGTACTCTTCCGCACGTAGCTTGAGTTGATTATTTCGTAAGTATCGTAATCGTTCGCCCTCTATCTTCGCGTACATGTCGACCATGAATTGTTGACAAAGCTCACGACATCGTAAAATGACGTTGTCCAGGCCACGTCTAATCATTAATCGGTACGCATAATAATCCTTTGAGCTAACGTTCTTGTTTGTTTCGGCTCCTGTAATAATATATTCATAAATATTAATTTAAATTAATAACGTTTAATAATTTAATTGTTTTGTTAAAAGTGTAATGATCAAATTCATAATTAATGAAGTACCTGATACGGGATCTCGTTKTTTAATATTTATGCTATATCCGTCTTGTCCCTTYCAGAAGATTAGCGGATATTKRAGAGCGTTATATAAACGGTGTGTATCAGCAATGAACTGAAGATTATTATTTCTCCTACGAATCACAATTTCTCGTGCAGCTGTACAATCGCCAACCATGATTCCAGCAACGTCGTCAGCAACAGGTGCATTGAATNTCGGCGGCGTCGGCGTTGTTGACAATAGCGTCTCGCAAGTGAATGTACTCTTCCGCACGTAGCTTGAGTTGATTATTTCGTAAGTATCGTAATCGTTCGCCCTCTATCTTCGCGTACATGTCGACCATGAATTGTTGACAAAGCTCTCGACATCGTAGAATGACGTTGTCCAGCCCGCGTCTAATCATCAATCTAYRCGCATAWTAATCCTTCAAACTAACGTTCTTGTTTGTTTYGGCTCCKGTAATAATATATTCATAAATATTAATTTAAATTAATAACGTTTAATAATTTAATTGTTTTGTTAAAAGTGTAATGATCAAAYTCATAATTAATGAAGTACCTGATACSGGATCTCGTTKTTWAATATTTATGCTATATCCGTCTTGTCCCTTYCAGAAGATTAGCGKATATTKRAGAGCGTTATATRAACGGTGTGTATCAGCAATGAACTGAAGATTATTMTTTCTCCTACGAATCACAATTTCTCGTGCACCTGTACGATCGCCAACCATGATTCCAGCAACRTCGTCAGCAACAGGTGCATTGAATYTACGAATGTGTTCTCCAACTGGTGTTTTATCAGGATTAATAACAWTAGCGTGATTATCGCTTTCTAATTTGTGCATGTGGGATTTGAATATTTTCAACAATTCATTGTACTCATTCAATAGAGCATCCGATGCGTCTGGCAAAGAATGAATGAAGGTTATTGTAGCCACAACGTGCATCCACC